CCCTAAACCCCAAACTCAAAAGCTTATGCTAAACCCAAAACCGTAAAACCCCAAAACCCCACAACCAACACCGGGGGGCAGCCTGACCCCACACCCGGAGGGGGGGGGCATGCTGGACCATGGACAATGGCGGGGAGAGGGGTGGGGGGGGGGGGGGGCCGCGGAGCGCCTGACCATATAGAGAGTTGGAAACGATACTTGCTAACTGAGGACGATACTTGGTGTCATTGCAGACCATGAAACAGACTCAAACGACCATCACCCCGTTTTTACCAATGCCACGGTAAGACTACCTCGAACAGGCTGCACGCAGTGTCACATTTTTTCGTACCGCTGCCAAAACTGTTGATATCATGTTTATCCGATGTCCAGGCAACGCACTTCTGGCGCTTCCCGGCACAGTGAAGACGATGGTACTGTGGCTTCACTACATTTCCGAGCACCATCTGCAACACTCTCTTAGTAGCAAGAATCAACCCAAGTATCTTCACGCGTTGGTCCGTGGACTAAATCACTTCACATCCGCCTAGGAGACACATAGTGCTATGGCATGTACCCTGCAACACATCAGGACATCAGCCGCTGTGCTTTGGAGATGTGACGACGATGGCTCCGATCACGGCAATTCTTGAAGCACCCGGTCGAGCAAGCTTTGCAATGGTTGTCGGGCTTCCAAGAGTCCACATATTCCAGCGGCATGTACGGGAGCAAATTTGTGCCCGCTTGTGAAGTGGACGGTTTGCCAATCGAATAAAGGCCGATCGACGGAGGCCTTGCACCGGAGGATTTCCTGCTTCATCCCTATGAGCTCGTTCCTCATCTCCCGGAGTGGGTTCAAGAGGTCCTGCTTTTGGAGCGCCAGCTCCAGGAGGATGTCCGGCACGGAGTGGAGCACCTCCAAATCCTCCTTCGTGCTCTGCTCGGCTAAGTCACTCAGGCACCTTTGATACTGTTTTTGGAGGCCATGCTTGTGCGCTTGCAAGAGGCGGGTGCCCGTGGGCGGAAGACGAAGCAGCAGCTGTTCGCAAGCTTCCTTGATGATCCCCGCTTGGTAGTAGTCGCTGATTGTAAGAAGCGAATCAACATTCGCCTCGGTTACTTTATCGTTGTTCCATGCCATCGGCTTAAGCAGGTCGTAGAAAACCGTGAACTCCTCCTTGCAGGCCACCTCCACCTTGATGATGCTTTGCTGCGCTTCCTTCATGCCACTCTCCAACATGCGGTCGAACACGGGAGAAGCCAGGCAAAGCAGATGAGAGCTTGCAGGCATGGAGTCCAATCCGAAGTCCAACACTACATCGTTGACCCTTTCCGCTGTCACTGTTGCTCCAGGTGCCTCCGCTTTGCCATCAGCCTGCACAAGACTGGCTTCCGACATGGAGGAATGGACGCAAGTAGAGGCACACCTGGAAGATGCAGACTACACCTTGCGTGTCTTGGCCCAGTCTTCAAGAACAAGAACGAGCATCTCCAAAAATCCCCAAACCGCAAAACCCCAACCCAACGCCGAACCCCCAAACCATCCCTCCCAAGAAGCAAAATCAAAAAAAGCAATCCAGAGAACAAAAAAATATCTCGTATCGCGCGCTTGTAAAACACCTGAAGCAACAATGCCAAACCCCGAGAAGGACATCCGTAAACAAGAACTACAAAAACTATGCAAATAATGTTCCTCAAGTATGTCGAAAACCTTTAAGTCGAAAACCTTTAATAGACACTATGATTTCCTTGTGAACACCCGGGCAAAAAGCTATAAAGCTACATAACATAGAGGATCGCTCCTGAAAGGCTCTATGAATGCCATCTCAACAGCCCTTTCAAACAAAAACCGAAACCCTAAACCCT